TCTAGGGATGCAAATTCATCGAGACAGAAATAATAGAAAGATTTAGCTTTCTCAAAATACTTATTTGAAGAAGGTCTTGCGACATTTCAACATGCAAGATTGTAAGCCAATTTCTACCCTACTTCCTATTAATTTCAAGTTATTCACCAAGTATGAGTCCTAGCGAGTGAAGAAGAGAGGATGGAGATGTCGAGTACCGTATGCATCAGCAGTGGGAAGTTTAATGTTCGCTATAATTTGTATAAGGCCGGACATTGCGTATGCGATGGGAGTGGTTAGTCGGTACATGACGAATTTTGGTAGAGAGCATTAGAATGCGATAAAGGATCCCGAGATACATTTAGGGAACCTCGGATGTTGCATTATGTTATGGAGGATCGGAATTTATTATCAACGGTTATGTTGATTTCGATTATGTAGGTGATATGGATAAAAGCAAATCAACTACGAGTTATGTGTTTACACTTACTAGTGAAGCTCGTAAGTTGGGTTTCTAAACTACGATCGATTGTGGCTACGTCAACAATAGAAGCGAGAATGTGTAGCGACTACACAAGCCGATAAAGAGGCGATCCGGTTGAAAATGGTATTTGAGGAACTCGGGCACAAACAAGAAAATATTTCTCTGTTTTGTGATAGTCGAGTGCCTTGCATCTTGCAAGGAATCCGACCTTTCATTCAAAGACAAAGCATATACGAGTACAATATCACTTTATTCGTGAGAAAGTGGAAGAAGGAACTATGGATATGCGGAAAATTCATACCAAAGACAACTCGAAAGATTTTATGACAAAGGCAATCAATGCCGATAAGTTTATTTGGTGTCGATCCTCCTGCAGCTCGATGAAGACATAAGCAACATGGGAAGACAAGATAGAAAGAATAGTGTGAAGATCCGATTGACTCGAATCAAATCTTCAAGTGGGAGATTGTTGAAAAAAATAATAAAAAGGCTTTCCGTGGATAATTTGTTCACGGAATCACGACTTGCATGTAAGCTAGATCATAGCTTGTAAAATGCAAGTCGTGACCAAGCATTGCAATACCTAAATTGAGGCCGTGCAAGCAAAGGGAGAGGTCTATAAATAAGCCTCTCCACCTTAGTTTGCAACATCCCACCATCCCATCTCAAAGAAGAGAGAGAGAAAAATATAGAGAGTGTTTTTTTTTAGATAGAAGTTTATTGTTTTCTCCTTATAGTACGGAAAGAGGGTGTAACTCCTATTATTTTTTCATAGTGAAATTCTTCTATCTTGTCCGTGGTTTTTTTCCCTTAATTTGTTTAAGGGTTTCCACTTAAAATCTGTGTGTTCAACTTCTTCTTTATTTCTCAAATTTATTAACTCGCGACTCGCTCTATTTGGTCAATAACTCAACATACCTTTCAAAGCTCAAATGTGCATCGGAGGCATAACTTCACCTCATCGCTTTACGACTAAAGACTACCTAATAGCTAGGCGTTCTTATAGTACTCTTGTGTATGCGTATCCGCACTTTGATTAGTTCTATTTCTTTCTAACCAAATATTATTATTGAATATCATTTCTCACCAAACAAAGTTGAATGAATATTCTCCCCGAGGATGAGATTTATTTGTCCCACACATAGCACATTAAAACAACATTGAAGAAGGACATGGCCTCTTCCTATCACAACCATTTCTCTTTATTTATTTTACCTTCTCATTTTGGTCGGTTTAATGACAAATTTTACTCTTATTTTATTATGATTTGATAATTTTAAATCTATAATATCAAATCACATAATTTGAATTTAAAAATATTGAAGATTGAATAAATATGATCCAAATTGTTAAATTTTCATTATTTGGAATGCCAAAACAATATCTTTTTGACATTTGTTGTTAATTATATATTTTTAAAAAATTTAAAATATTTGTAACCCCTAATCTTGAACTTTTTTTTTAACTTTTTTTTTATAAAATATTATAAACATTTTATGAACAAATGTTTTTTTTATAATTTATAAAATTAGGAGGGTCAACCCTTAATTATACTTATTTTAATTTATAAAATGTTTTTTTAAGACTCGAAATTGTGTATTGTTAATTATGTTTTTTTACAATGCCATTTTATAATTTTTTTCTAAAAAATTTCAAAATTAAGAGGTTAAAAATATTTATAATTTTTTTTATATAATTTATAAAATCTTTATAATATTTTGTAAGAGAAAAAAAGTCTTAAGAAAGTTTAAGATTAAGGAGTTAAAAATATTTTTAAAGTATTTTTTTTTTTTAAATGATTAACAACATAATGTCAAAATAACGTTATTTTGGCATTCCAAGTCAGATTGACCGTTAAACACGATAGAGATTAAAAAATTTGGATTATATTTGTCCAATCTTCAATATTTTAAAATGAAAATTACACAATTTTATATTACAGGCCTAAAATTGTCAAATCATAATTGAATGAGAGAAAAATTTATCATTAAACCCCGTCGATCATAATTAACTCCAATTATATTATTTGTTACCCCTTAATCGAGCTTTGAGAATTTTATTTTTTAATTGAAACCCAAGTCACAAGAGAGAATGGTGAGCTACGAACCTAGGTTATTATGAACTTGAAAAAAGAGCACATATTACAAAAACACTAAAATAAAATGGATTTTTACTAGTTATAACACTATTCACATACTCATCAATCTCTATTTTTCACGATTCATGGTATTGCTTGTAATTTTCAAGATATTTTGAAACATTTGATGGGCAACTTTTCATGTTTTTAGAAATATTATACTTTGGTCCTTAATTTATATATATATATATATATATATATATATTCATTTCAAACTTCAATTGCAATGTGATTTAGTCATATTTTGTTTTAGTGTTTTCTCGTTAATTACTTTTATTATTTAAAATTTACTACTTTAATTTGTCATTTTTGTAAATTCTCATCCAATTAATTTAAAATTATATTTACTAATAATTTTGATTTATTTTTTTTGTATGTATGGATTTTGAAATAAATTTTTAGAATATGATTATTTTTTCTTTTAAAAAATAGATTTATATAATTTTTAAATTATTACGACATGATTAATATATATAATTTGTCTGAAATATATTTTTAGATTAAAAGTATATTTCAAATAATTTATTCTTGGCCTTTTTTTTTTTTAGAAAAAACTCAAATTAGTTAATTAATAATTGAAAGTCATATGTGAAAAAACAAAAATGAGATGATTGGTCTATGCGTTAGGCACTGTATTCAAGGACTAGCCATGTCTATGTATAGAAATATAAAATTATTTAAGAAGGAGGAAAAAAAAGAACAAGAATTCACATGTTTTATTTTTTTCTTTTTATATAATCAAAATTCATCGAAATTAATTTTGTAATAATTTTTATTTTAGTCTATTAACTTCAAATTTAGTCAATATATTTCTTACAAGTTAACTTTTTAATAATGTTTTTTATTTTATACTAAAAACTCTAGACCTACTTAATATATATATATATATATATATATATATATATATATATATATATATATATATATATATATATATATATATACGTTGTTTTTTTTAGAAGTTAACTATGCAACTACTACATTAAGCATTTACTATTTATTTATTTAGTTTTGAAGATTTGAAAATTAATTTATTTTGATTAAATTATTAAAATTATATTTTGGCTTAACTATTCAATGATTCAAATTAATATAGTTTTTTATTTTAATAATATTCATTCTTTTGTTAATAAATATAGAAAAATTAAACTCACATTCTTTCAAAAATCAATATTCTCACCAACATTAAATAAAAATTAAAAAAAATATTTTTTATTTTTTCAATTCTATGTAAGTTTTTATTAATTGTTATTTTAGTTTTTTTGACATAATCTTATGAAATATTAAAGCTTTTTAAAAAAATTTATTTAATTTTTTTTGTTAATAATCCATTGATTAATATGAATAAATCTTTTTTCTAATAGAAAAATTATGAAAAACACAAATAAAAAATAATTAAATACAAAAATCAAAAAGTTATAAATATATTTTTTTATCTTTAATTTCATATAGTTTTATAGATTCATATAATAATATAGATTATCAAAATAAAATAATTTTATATATTTTATTTAATCTTAAGCAGAGTGAAAAATAAAAAATCTAATTTGTTACTGGCACAAATTGATGGTCACCCTTTTACCTTGCCAGGTTTCGCCAGCTGAAGTTGTGCAGATTAGACATATATTTTGGAGTCCTTTTTCAGTGTTGTTAGGTGCAACGATTTTGTATTTGAATGGCTTCCTGTTCCAGAAAGTAAACCATTTGCACGTATTCGGGAATTTCTCAAGTCCAATGAGTCAAACATCATCTTGGTCAAAGAATGAAAATTTGATGACTGAAATTTTTTAGTGCTAATCCACTGTTTCCCACGTTACTGGAATCTTGGGGAATATATGAGATAGGTCCCGGTTTTTTTTTGTTTTTTTTTTTGAGTTAAAGCATGGCATGTCCTGTCACCATCCTGACGATGCTTCATTATCGGAAAATTGCATTACTGATACTCAGAAACCCGATGCTGGTCTCAAATTTACATGAGAAGAGAAAAGAAAACAAGAAGAAGAATGCAATAAGACAGTTCCATAGGTCATGTTCACAACTTTATTTTTCTTTGACTTAGTGATGATAGCGTGGTCCATAAAAAAAAAAAAAAAGGCTGTCCATCAAACATCGATAAATAAGTACCGTGTGCTAATTATAATTAGTTTACATGGTATACGAGACACTTAGTATCATTTCAATATTTTATTGGAATCAAATATTGATCAAATTCACACCTGGATTAAAAAAAGAAAAAAAATCTTGCATCAAAACGTATAATTAATAATGGCTTTAATTCAAATAAAAAAAATTAATGGTTTTAATTATTTCCAAGTCCTGGAATAACAAATCACTTGGTGGAGTGGTCCTCCTAAAGTAATCACTTGCTAATTAATCAAGCGATCAATGAATGATTACGGTCTAGAATCCCTTCGGTGTTTCAGTTTTGTATAATTGCACAAAACAAAACAGACTACGCAAGAATGACGCTGAGGAAACGAAAGCATTGGCATACAGTGATCTCTTTCCAATCTGCAGATGCGCTGCGCAGTACGAACCACAAAAGTCTTACTGTCCTATTAAATTGGAGTACGAATTCTGGCCAGTACTCTAGTACAAAACATTGGAATTGGCATTATGACAAAACTGCATACTTCTTTAAACGGCCCTTGTTTAGATAGAGTGAAAAGTGGAGAAGAAAAAAAAGGTGAAAAAAATATTTTTGTCGTTTGAGAAGAGCAAGAAAAGCAGTGGAATGAAAAAAAAAATTAAAAAATATAAAAATAGTGGGGCTCATTTTCCTCTCAAAATTGGAAGGAAATGGGGAGAAAACGAAAGGAAAGCGATTTGTTTTTTTTTTTTCATTTTCACCCTTGCTTGCCGTTCCCTTCCGTTTGTCTGTCGATCTCGCCTCTGCAAACCCACTCTTTCTCTCTCTCTCGTTGAATTCGTTACCAAAACGAGTCCCGAAACTCTCTCTGCAAACTCCATCTTCCATTTCCGCCCTTACTCGTCGTTCCTTTCTTTTTCTCTGTCGATCTCGCCTCTGCAAACCCACTACCTCTCTCTCACCAAGCTTCACAGTTTCTTCACGTGCTCGACTCTTTCCATCTAAACCAACTTTTGTCCATTTTCCTTTTGCATCTATCATACTATGTTCAACGCCAACCCTTTTACGCCTAAACTCATTCCACCCTCTCAAATCATCAAAATCCAAATCCAAGTCATTATGCCCTATAAATCTAAAACTCTCACCGTTATCACTAGGATAAAAAAAAATCCCAAGAACCACTCGACCCAAAAGGAGGAGGAGGTGGCGGCATTGGCATAGAGAACCCCAATGACTCATCCTCTACAAAATCACTACTATTATTCAAATTAAACTTAGCAATCCATCGCATTACCACCTCCACTGACTCTTATATACCCCAAATTCATCATTGGTAGTGAAATTGGGCTCTCAAAGTGCAATGGTGAATCCGAGACCTTTACATTATGGGAGGGAGAGGGAGAGAGGTATGAGAAATGTGAAGGAGACTTGTCAAGCTCGGTGGATGAGGTTGTTGATAAAGAAGACTATATCAAAATCTCTCGCTTTAGCGAATCGACGAAGAGTTACACCAATGTTTTTAAGAGAGTTAATGTAAGAGACATGAACTGCTGTAAGATTGTACCTTGAATCAATTGCTTGCTTTATGAACTTCCTCTCGCTCCTTGCACGAGCCAAAGGTTCGGCTTTGTCGACTTTGGAGCTTGCAGAGCCCATTTCGAGCCAAAATGTTAAAGACCTAATTCTTTTTCAAGTCTATCAATAGAATCTCTTCAAATGAGGCAATGGCTTCCGGAAAACCAAACTTTGCACTAGAAATGCAACAGAGTCTCTAAAAAATCAACTTGTAGAGACCCTATAAGCCAAGGAAATGAAAGAAACAAAGGGACTACGAAAAAGCTAAAACCTTTCACCTTAAACTACCCAACCTTGTTGAAGAAACGAAACAAAAACAGAACAAACTTTTCCAAGCCACAAGAACATAGAAGGTTGTTTCTCCAAGAAACGAGAAGCCCACTTGGGCAAAGCTTTCATTTCAAGATTGAGACAAGACCGGGATAATGGAAAACAAAATTAAGTAGAAAAATAAAACAAAAATGAAGTAGAAAAATTTCAATTTTCTTTTCCAAAAGAAAGAACAAAACAGAGCAAAAGCGAGAGACAAGTGGTTGTTTTCAAAGAAGATAGGAAATTTAATGTTATTGTTAGAAATTTGTGAAGAGTTTGGATGGAAATTTTCCAAATGAGAATTTTTTAATATTTTGGAAATTTAATTAAGAGTGAGACTTAATAGTAGTATTATTTACTCGAATTATTTCCTTCAATTTAATGCGAAAGGGGGGGGGGGGCAAGAACCCTCTTTCTAGTCTCTCTCTTTTTTAATTGCTAAATAGTAATTGTTTATTCTAAAAAAAAAAGCGGAGAAAATGATGGGTAAAAGCAACTAACTTATTGTATGCATAGATAATAATACATGTTATACATATTTAAATTAATTTTATGTTGATAATTAATCTAAATTGACTATTGGATTAATTAATTAATAAACAATTATCGATTATTCTATGGAGACGATTCATTATCTATTTTATAATTTCGGATATATGCTACATGCTATATTTTTATTTTATTATCATTTATGTTATTTTCATGAAAAAAATATTCATACAAATTTATTATAAGTATTTAAATATAGAAATATAATCATAGGGGTATTATAATAAATATATCATAATATATTTTCTTTCCTTCCTCTATCCAAATAAGAAAAATGTATTTTGTTTCCTTTTCTTTCCACTCTTATCCAAACAATAAGTGAAAAATAATTTTTTTTCCTTTCTTTTTTCTTTTCTCTCATTTCTTTCTTCTCAGGAGGAATTATCCAAACAAGGGGTAAATGGCATTAGCAAGTGTGTTCCCAACTTTTTAGCTTCTTGTGTAGACAGTATTGTAGAGTCAATTCATAAGCTAACATATACCGATAAATTTAGTAATTTAATTTACCAATCAGAACACTAATTAAGTTCTTTAAATAGTCCCAGAAAAACAAAATTGTTCTTTTGAAGACAAGAATATTCCCGTCTTCCACGTATTGTGACGGTTTTGTTTTCTAGCACCAGGAATTTTATATAAAAATCTAATGATACAAAATTTATATTGGGATCGTCAGTTTGTCTCTACTATTATATGAACAAAAAAATGTTGCTACTTTTTTTCCCTAAGACTGGAAAAACAAAAAGGAAAATATCTCATCCACACGTCTCGAGATTACTTTACATTGTGATTTTTGTGAGTTGACACATCCTCTCGGTAGGAACCAAACATTTCTACGTCAAAGATTCGCCATGATCATATCTAAGCGGAAGTACTACTTTAACGTGATTAATTTCAAATTATAGTGTGTTAATTAATCCTCATATGTTCCTCTGCAATACATATTAGAACATGACTAATTGATACAAGCCTAGCTAATGAACTCAACCATGTAAATTATTTATCATAGTTTGAAGCTTAGGTTAATTTGGTGATGAATGGCTACCACGCATTTTTATTTCAAAAGTCAAATCTTAAAAAGACAATGAAATAGTAATTTTCATAAGTATATTAGTTTGATTTTGAATGATTTGTTCCGATACGGAGCACTAAATTGCTCGAGAATTGAAACAAGAAAAAGAAATTGCTCCGAGAATATGTTGACTTGTTAAAAAAAAAATCATGTAAATTGTAGAATAAGCTAGCTAATGTACATCTGCATGCCAGTGAAAGTCATGTCATGGAATAAGCTCTTATTGTCTTTTTTTTTTTTAATGAAATTTTTATTTATCAAAAAAAAAAAAAAAAAAAAACTGCTTCGCTCGCTCGTATATAGTAATTTTTTCAGGAATGGAAACATTTGTTTGAGAGGACACAAATGCTCTTATTAGCTTTCAGATATATATATGTGGTATATGGTATGTACATCCTTCATAACATCCACCAAGTAGTCAATGAATGCCATGACTTGAAGGGGGCAAAAACCGTGGCCTCCACTACATAAATCTCATTCAGTAAATCTATTTTGCCAAAACAATCTCAATTCGATGAAAACAAGTTGTATAAATAGGTAAACTCGTAATTATTGGGGCCGCTTCAATTTATTAGAACAAATTAACTTGCTAGGGCAAATTGGTTGTATTAATCTCACACCCCATAGCCATGGGAAAAACATTATTAAGTAAATACATGAAGGATTAACACAACCAATTTAAAAATATATGAAGATTTAGTACTTGCCTAGAAGCTGTACGCATTAAAGACATGTCATGAACTGTGGTAGACACTCTCCATCCTGCTGCCACGTTGAATTATCACTTGCAAAAGTAAGACTCCATCCACAACAGTTCCAATTGCACGCACTACTACTCATCAACAATTCAGGCAAGTCAATCTCACCCCAAAAATCATCATCAACAACTTCACCATCACCACTATTATCCCTATTTGTTTCGCTGCTCTTCTTTATTGGAATCAGTACTGAATGTGCTGCCTTTGCTGCTGCTGCTTGAATATCCCTGGGCGTAGACGTGGACGGTCTGGGCAAGTCATCCACTTCGTCAGGAAAATTAAGTTGCGCTTTACGACCTTTAAGACAATATGCCGCCACATCATATGCCTTGGCTGCCATTTCTGGCACAGGAAATGAGCCTAGCCAAATGCGTGATTTTTTGCGTGGCTCTCTAATTTCAGACACCCATTTTCCCCACCTCCGTTTTCGGACACCGCGATAGACGGGATGTCGGGTGCCGCTGCCCCGTGGAGTATCAGATTTTTGGGGGTTTAGGGCGGTGGCTGCCTCTGGAGAGTTAGCTGCGGGGTCATCTTCAGAGTGTGGTGGTTGCTCCATTTACATTAAGAGCCGCTGGCTTAGCATGTCAGGGCGTTATTAACATTTATATTTGCCGTAGACGTTGCAAGACTGCAGCAATTAGTTCAATTTACTTAAATGGCCTTGTCTAAAAAAAGGGAACTGATCAACATAAAAGCTTGTAACTTTCACAAAATATTTCACAACCCAAGTTGACTGGGTGCGGTTAAAAAAGAGACAGGATAGATAGACCGGACAAAGAAGATTAAGTCAATAATTAACTATACTAAGTTTTTACAAGAATATACTTACCAAACAATGATTTAACACAAAAAAAAAAGTTAAAAATAATTTTGTTTTAAAACCATATATAGTAATTCCAAACAAGTATAATTTTTTTTCTAACAAAATGATACAAGTTCCATTAAAAAAAATCAAATACAAAGTATATAGTACATCAAATTTATATAACCTCTAATAAAGTATTTTATGATACAGTTGAAGGAGTTACAAAAATGCTTTAAAATCAATTTACTCTATCATTATCATTATTAGTGGAGGAAACACTTGTGTTAGTAGTAAAAGGCGAAGGTAGAATTTTTTAAAAGCTATAGAAGTAATATTAGGAAATTATGAATTATGAGGATGGGATTTTAGAAGTCGTAGAGTGTCGACACGCATTAACAACACAGCATGACCGAATTACCCTTCCACTTAATAGATATCACTGTCTAGAGTTGATTGCTTATTGCTTTTGGTCCCGTAGAGTTGGGATCACATGGGGAACGGTAGCACGGGATGCCGGTGACCATTCTTCTCTCTCTCTCTCTCTCTCTCTTTTAATTTTTGGGTGCCAGTTTTTGCATGATATTTGGTGTGTATGTAAACTCTAATTTGGACGTATGTAAGCCCACGGATCACCTATTTGATAATGACAACAATTTTCACCAATAGGAACCTCTTAATCGTAAAAGTTCTTGCTTATGTGAGTGGCCCAATCATTGTGATTATGATGCATGCGCTTACTTACTAAACTTTTTCACTGCCTTCTTTCCTTTGATCTCCGAGGGGAATTAATCGAGCATTATGCTTCTTGGTTTCGTACAAATTTTGAATGAAGAGGAAGTGATTAACTACAGAAAGAGAGACAAGCGTGAAAAGGGTCAATTGAGAAGTATTTTAGTTTTCATATAGAATATCACTAATTTTTTTTTACCCACGGCATATTACATAAAATTATTTTATTTTAATATCTCATGTTATATTGTGCATCTATCAAAATATAACAAACCAAAATTGAATAAAAATTTATTTAATTTTATAATTTTTAATAAAAATTTTATATTTGACTAATTATTCTTTACATTTTCATATTTTTTTATTAAAAAATGTTATTTATTTATATCTATCCACATTTTTAGTTAAAAACTTATTTTGTAAATTGTCTTTCTAAACATCTTTTTGTGTTGAAATTTTTAATTTTTTTTTTTAAAAAAGCAAAGACCAAAGTGACCAAAATGAAATAAAAAAGATGGACCAAAATAAAACTTAAAAATTTAGGAACAAAAAAAATATTTAAAAAATGACTAAAATGTAATATCACAAAAACTTTCATAATATATGTCTTTAAAAAGTTTAAAAACTACAAAAAAAAAAATATTGCATAGTGAAAGGAATAATGCATATGAGTCCGTGTGAATAGTGCTTATGGGTATGGATGAATACATTTTGAAACAACGAAATGAATAGTAAACTTATGTTTTGATTTAGTTTTTTTATTATTTTTTTTTACATGCACTATACCGTGGGCCTAAAAAAACATGTTAAATTATTTTAGTTTGAATTTCTATTTATATTGCAAGTCCTCTAAAATATATATAAAATTAAAGGTAAAAAAAAATCTATTTAATTTTATGACTCTTTTATCAAAATTTTACATTTGACCAATTATTTTGTGTTTTTAAAAATTTTTCTGAAAAAAAAAAGAAAGCATGATTTCTTCTTCTTTATTCAAATTATTGACTAAAAAAATTTTTTTGTAAATTTTTTTCTAAAAAGTTCAAAAAAATTATCTAAAAAAGGCTTTTAATCTTTAGATTAAATATATATATATAAATTTAATTATAGGTTAAATGATATTTCATTTTTATCATTAAATATACTATGTTTTTGCCAAAAACAAAGTTAATTAATCAAAATTATTAGGGCGTACCAATAATTCGAGATGAAAATAATAATAATGATAATAAACATAAAAAAAAAATTCTAAAAGAGAAAAACATATCTAGGAAAGCCCAAAATATCAAGAGTGGGTATTATTTTAAGTTGGAAAAGTTTAGTAAAAAGGAAACAATTTTTTTATATTCCTAATTTTATTTGAAATTATGTTAAAAAGCCGATTTTACACTAACTTACTATTGCTACTAAATGGTGCATTATAAATTTGTCGAGATATTGTTGTTGGATCAATCGGAGCTAAAGTATATGATGAAGTTTAAGCGTAAATAAACGGCGAAGCTTATGGATTAAACCCGAGACTTTTACCATGCTTACTTCAATTGGAGCTAAAGTATATGATGAAGTTTAAGCGTAAATAAATGGCGAAGCTTATGGATTAAACCCGAGACTTTTACCATGCTTACTTCGTGCCCTTACTTTTAGGTGTTGTTTAATAATCGTGAATAGAGTGATGGGAATGAGAATACAGGAATCGAAATGAAAATTAAGAAATCGAATAACATTTATATTTTCATACCATGTTTGGAATACTAATGAGAAATCATAATACAATTTAAATTTTTTAATATCTAGTTTTTTTATACAAATAAAAATAATGATTAAAAAATAATTTTATCTAACTATAATAATTGTAACAATAATAAAGATGATGATGGTGGTAATGATTATGATAAGTAGTGGTTCTAGTGGCGACGACGGCGACGGTAGTGGTTGCGATAGTGGTGGTGGTGTTTATAGTGGTTGTGATGATGGTAGTGGTAGTAGTGCTGATGGTGATTGTGATGGTGGTGATAATGGTGGTGGTGGTGATGGTGGTTGTGGTGATGGTGGTAAAAGTAGTTAATAGGCAATAAATAAATAAAACATATTATTATTTAAAAAAAATCATTTCCATTTCTTATTATTATTCCCACATCTTATATGGGAATGAAGTTATGTGTAAATTTTCATTCCAATTCCCACTCTTCATTCTCATTCTCACTTCATTTCTTTTAACTAAATAAGTACAACGTGGGAATAAAACTTCCATTCACATTCTCACCACTCTATTTCTAATTACCAAATAGCACCTTAGTTTTCTTTAAACATAGGATTCCTAGCTTGTTATGGAAAGGATTTTTATGAAAATAAGAAGTGAGTCGAGTTCGATCTTGACGAATTCTTTTTGAATAAGTTTCAAGTTTTTTCTCCCTTACAAACATGAGGGTTTTGACTTGTATAATAATCTAGAAAGTTGTTGGAGTTTACAATGTCCAAATAATATCTAGTAAACATCAAAATCAAATTTAACCTCTCGCCTATTCCTAATGCATATATATGTTCTACAATGCTAAGACTTAAAGAAAGCTATCCCGACATTGGTCTTGTTTATTCTCGAATTGCTAACAAAACTTCAATTGTAATGTTTTTTTTTTTCAAGAAAATCTATGTATAACTCTTACGAACCTCGAGACTTCATCATTCTTTGATTTTGGTCATTGTTACATCATTTATAAAGCAACACCTCATCTAGCATGTTGATGAGTCCGAGTCATTCAGACTTTCTTCGATAATAAATGTGGGTTTGTTAAGAGAAGGAAAGACTATTTCATTATCCAACATGAACACTATTGCTAACATTTTTTGTCGATCTTCTATGCTATCTTGCACGTATAAAAGGCTAACTTGAATACATTTCAAAACTTCATTAGTAGACTATGACACTCCTAATGTTGAATCGACTATCTCCAATGCTTTGCCTCCATTCCATAAGTCCCATGCTTAGAAATAAAAGTTTAAGAGATTATCCTTCAAGGAAATCATACAATAAAAGGAAAAGTTTGGAGAGCCATTCTTTTAAAATGTGTACATTATACTTACTTCGCAATCAAATTATGAGAAGGACTTTCATTGTAATAGTCATAGTTTTTCTTGCCACTTACGATCCCCAATACCATGACCCTTTAGTCGAAGACATTTGATTTGATTGAATATAGCCCTTCCATTACATATTTTGGAGACATATATCCACAATAATCATGTAAGGAAAAAGAAGCTGAATGAAATATGTTAGCATGATCATTGGCATGTGTTTTAAATTGGTATAAAAAAGATTTTAAAAGAGGAAATTTTAAATCGTATCATACAACGATACAACGGTGTTGCTATCCAATGTGCTCTAGCTCTTTGCCTCCTTCATCCCTCTTTCCGGTTAGTGTCAATCATTCTAGAAACTCTAGCCACATCTAACTTCGCCATAAACCACTAGCCACCTAACTCTAACGACCATACTCGACCTTCCCACACTAAACTTCGACCACGCAAACTCATCGGTAACAACACCCAGTACCTTTTTCCACACCAAACCTAACCACCAAAATCCACTACCAACAACCTTGTTATCCTCCTTCATAGCAAACCGCAAGCACCAAAATCCATTATCAAGAGTCTTATGCCTACCGGCAACACCCCTCACTATCGTCAACCATGCCACTACCTCTAAAGGCCAAAAACGTTTCTCCCTACTTCTCTTTCTAGTGGCTGAAATCCCTCTTCAATGTTAAGTTTTGACAAAATATTTAAGAAGAATTTTATTTGGAGGGAAGAGAAATAATTGCTAACGTGAAAGACAAAAAGACATTCTAGATTTTAATGGATGCATATTTCTAGAGATAAGGATTAAAACGTGGTAATCAGCCTATTGGTCGAAGAGATTACATTATCTCTATCCGATAAAGAAAATCTAATGACCGAGAAGAAAAATGATGATCAAACGATTGTAAGGCAATAAAAAAAGAAGAAAATCCAATGGCTAATAAGAAAAATAAAGATCAAACGTACCCAAAGGCAAAAGAGAAACAAGAGAACAAAGGAAAAAAAAAAGGAGAATACTAATAGTAGAATGAATAAACAAAAAAAGAACAAGAAGAATCAAACTCGTCCGTAAGAAAACATTAGAATCTAAGGAAAAAAAATGAAAGGCAAGGATGCAACAACCTAGCCCAAACAAGTGAAAGGAACAATTTGGCCGAGTCTATGTTCATAGTTTTTTTACTCATAATAAACAAGTGTTTGAAATAGTAAATCAAGGGTAAATAATCATTTTAGTTTAGTTTTTTTTGTTACTAATGATTGTGTTTTTTATTAGATAGATATTGATCTAATTTGAGAACTTTAAAAACAATTGAGAAAGACAAACACTAATCTATTTGAATTATAGCTCACTAGACAAATCATCATTGTCATTTAATTATAAATGAGTAAACTATAAATTAGTCAATGAATTAAATCGTTTCTTTAATTTTAAAAACTAATTAATTATTCATTTGATCAATATTAATAATGTTTAATTTAACATTAATTTATTTTTAAAAAACACATTTTTTCATTAATCTTCTATTTTTTATTTTATCTTTTTCTATTTATTAAACAAAAGTATAAAATAAATTAGAAAAAGACGTGAAATGGATGAAAATAAGTAATTAATTAGTTTTTAAAATTAGATATATTATTTATTTCATTTTAAAAAACTAGAAGAATTAATTTATAATTTACTTATTATAAATTTTTCAAAAGAATAATACTAATTAATACATGTGCTTTTTCTATATATATATATATATATATATAATACGACTAATTAATACTAATGTTTTTTCTATAAAAAAAATACAGCTTTTAGTTGAGCATTATTTGGCATGGAATTGGAGGTGAATATTGTATTATGAAAAATAATTTATAATCTAATTTTTATATTAATTTTCTATATAAATTGATGTGTCAATTTATGAGTAATAGAGTATTATTTTCATAAATTTTAAATGATTGGCTTTTCATAAAAAATATAATTGCTACATGTATTTATTTAAGAACCTTATTATATATATATATATATATATATTGTATCGAGCATTATTCCTGAATTATTTGCTCTCTTTACTACAAGTTTGGACCAAGGATGTTTTGGTACTTCAAAAGTAAAAGCATCCACTAATTGTGGAAGCCACCCGATCCTTATCCAAAAGGCAGGAAATCAGATACTCAAGAATGCACGCTGTCATGTACAGACAAGAGTAAATTATAAATTAGTCCTTGTAGTTTTGAGAGATAAATAAATAAATTTTAATGTTTTAAAAACTAATTATTTAATTTCTTTTTGTCCATTTTAATTTTTTTAAATGATAATATAAAAATAGATATTATAGAAAGATTGATGATAAACTAAAAAGATATTTTTTAATAATACAATAATATTAAATTAAGTGTGGTATTAAAAAATTAATTTTTGAAATAAGAGAACTAATTAATTAGTTTTTCAAAACTAGAGAAACTAGTTTATAATTTACCCATAAAACAATGTGGGCTATCCATAAACTTAAAAAAAAAAAAAAAAAAGGTGATCATGCGTATTGGGCTATCAAGGGAAGTATATCTTTTCTGCATTTTGGTTACCATGGGTTGATTTCTTTAAGCTTTATAGAAATCCATAAGCAATCTGGAAGAATAGTAAATGTTGTGGCTTGTAGCAGCTTCTAGTGTGTGTGGGTGCTCTCTTTCAATTTGTTATTCAATTTGTTACGCAGTTAAATTTTCTGAAGGTGAAAATCCATAGGTCAGATCTTATATTGGAGAAATTAAGGAATAAGTTATCTACTTATACAAGTACGACCTATACATTAAAATTAAGACAAGTATGTATAGGCGTTTTATATACCTCCTGTGACATATCACAGATCAAAAAATAAGGACGAGTATGGTTTATTTAATTTAAAAAATCATACTTCATCGAATATCTTGATCGACAGCGTTAGCAAGATCCTTATGCTTGCAACCTAGCTAGTGCCGACCAAACACTCGTATAATTTGAAATCATTGTTGTTGACAAAACCAGAAAGACAGGAAATTAGGTATAGTTCAAGATAAACTCTAATTTTTGTAGATGCGGAGCCTTTGCTGAAGTCGAAACGCGAGGTAGTCTTGCGTACTGACAATGTTGCAATAGAGAAAAGGGTACAATTAAAAAAAAAAAAAACAAGCAGTCTTTATACATAGTGTTGGGTATATACTATAGTTTCAGTTTATAAGTGGCCTTAACATACTCTATTAAAATATTAATTAGAAAAAAAAAGAGATTAATTAGAAAAGGGATTCAGTAGGAAAATAATTGAAGTTAAATTAAGAAAAATACTATTGAAAAACTAGAAATAAATAGGATTTTTTTGTTTTGTTTTTTCTATTTAGTTGATGCATACATTTAAAAGAAAGAATTTGTCTTCCTTTATACACAATTGTCAAAAAGAGCAATTAGAGTAAAAAAAAACATGATTTTTCTTATTCTTTTGACGAATTCTATAAAAAGAACGTAAAAATATTTTGGTGCACAAATCAATAAATTTTTTTCTAACATTGATTTTTGGGAATTGCAATTATGGAGAATTACAATGTTTAAAGTGATGATTTCACATAATATTAGGCTTTTAAAAAACACAAAGATTTGTAGATTTTTGTTTGAAAGACGAACTTAACCGAAAAGGTAATTAGTATCTCTTAGTATTTTTTGCTTTACAAGCTTATAGAAAAACTTGAGTGATTATATTACCTTCTTGATTGTAGTGGATTATTTTAGAGTTAGTCTCATGATTTTTCCTTTATAATAGAAAGGATTTTCTACATAAATTTAGTGTCTTGTAGTTGATTTTTTTTTACTCCCGATTTTTACATGTTTGACTTAATTTTTTTTATCATAAAATGCCATTTACATGAAATGGGATTAATTTCCAACATGAGTATTAGAGTTTTGGTTATAATATTTGTATAAATTAAATGGAGAAAAATAATTTAAGAACCACGATCAAATTGATGACTTCGAATTATTCAATTTTGAAGTCGAGAATAGAGGATTTACTTTATTATTGTGATTTATTTGATCCAATTGAATCGAGTAAAACCAAATTAACTATAAAGACCGATGATGTTTGGAAAAAGGAGCATAGAAAAGCTATTAGAACTATTAGACAATGGATGGACAATAGTATGTTTCACCTTGTATCCAAATAGATGGATGTCCAAGAACGATAAAAAAAAAAAAAACTTAGAGAGTATGTATGAAAGGAAGACTACTTCGAATAAAACTTTTTTTATTAGGAAGCTTGTGAATTTGAATATCAAGATGGAAGGTTTGCTTCTAAAAACTTGAGTGGTTTTAAGATTTGATTAATCGAGTTGATGACCATGAGAATAATGCTAGATGACGAGCTACAAGCATTATTACTATTAGGGCTTTGCCGGATAGCTAGAGACTTTGTGCCACTTGGTAATTCTATTTCGAATGGTATTTTTTCACTTTTCATGGTCAAAGATAGCTTGTTCAATAAATAAATATGACAAAATAAAATGATAGTGGATAAAGCACAAACTCTTGTCGGGAAAAAAATAGAGAGAGGAGTAGAAATAATGAATTCGATAAGCATGATAAATCTAGAGCGAGATCATAGACTAGTGATAGTTTTAAATGCTATCACTCATCAAAGAGAAGGTCAAATAAAGAAGAATTGTAAGATATATAAGAAAGAACAAGAAGATAACGAGAATATCACTACAATATTAACTTTAAATTAAGATGCGACGAATGTTTTCATTCGAAAGAAGAAATGTAATACTATAGATCCTTGTTCCATCAAGGATTACACTACCATTAGGAATTCCATTCCCTAAAGATCCATTTCTCCTTAAAGACTCCACTCGATTAAGTCGATCAAAAAGATTATTCACCTACCATAAGGTTCAATAGATGGACCATCCTACTATATGCATAACATAGAATTTTAGGAGACTTACTCGACCAAATAGTACAAAAGTTTAGGGGAGGCATACTTAGTTGAACGTCACCTATTTTTTCTAAGAGTATAGTCTAAATCCATATTCTCAAAGGAATGGATGGCAATAGTGAGAATCAAAGGTATAATTCAAGTTCATATACCTCAAAGGACGGACAACCATATATCCTCTATGAGTATAGTTCAACGCCATATTCCCGAGGTAAATGACGACCATATTTTCACTAAGGATCCTTCCCTTTTCAAGGCTCCTACTATTCTTCAAGAAGTTTATCTCCTTTATAGTTCACCTTTTTTTAGGGATCACACTCCTCTAGAATTCCATCACTCTTCAAAGATTCCATCCCTTACAAGGAATCCATCCTTACTCAAGGATCCCACTCCTCTCTAAGGTGTCTCCTTTTATGGTAGTCCATCCTTTCTTTGAGATTTCATTACTCATTAAGAGTTCATCCCGTTAGTCTAGGTGTCTAAGATCCAACCATGTTTAAATAGGTTTGAGTTATTGTTATTTATATTATTTATAATAAAAGAAGTCTTTCTATTAATTCTTGTCATTTACATTTATTGATTGAATAGAATTAGATGAAAATCCATATGATATCCATTTGCATTAGTGATAGATCAAAAGATGTGAGACAAACACTAATATACATAAATGAAATCATTAAATGTCCTAAGTCGTAGCATTGTCAAGAATGGATATTAATTATATGTGGTTAGACTTGTGAGTGTTATGCTCATCTTATACGATGACAAGTAAGAGATCTCGTACCTATTGGCATGATGATGCCAAAGCAAGCACTTAGGTGATTTATGTTAGAAA